ACGTTTACTGCCCCAACTCCGGGGAATTTTTGGATCCATGCTGCCACTGAGCAGTGTATCACCTGCTGCCCCAAAAGCATATTTATGTGTTTGGTAGCAGATCCTCTTAAAAGAGCAGCATGGTATTTTGCCACTGGCACTGAGTCAGGAAGCCACTTCTTAAGGAGCCGCAACTCTGCTTGCCTCTTAGCAAATAGATCCTAAAGAGAAAAGGCAGTTACTGTGAAACTGCACTTGCCTCTGCTTTTGTGTGTTTGAATACTTTTTAAAATGTTGTCAGGTCTTATGTGGAAATTCTGGCCCCACGTTGGAATGCCATACGTAGGCAGGGTTTGACGATCCCTGTAGTGCTCACAAATGACTATTCAATAAATTAATATTAATTGTAAATGCTCAGCTGATAGCTCAGGCTTGTTACTACCTAACTCTTACACTTAACCCTTATTTCTTATCTATGCTTTGCAGTGTGGCTTGTTACCTCATTTTCTACAGATCCTGCTTATTATGCATCTTCAGGAGTCTCCTCTGACTCAGCATCAGTTTGGTTGTCCTGCCTATACTTCCTGCCTGGCTACCAGCCAGTCGATTCTTTATTAACCAATGAGAGTAATAAATATTCACAGTATACAGAAGAATTATCCTACATCAGCCATCTTTTCAAGAATTTTCATGAACCTGAAAGACTTATGAGACACATGAACTACACACAAAATTACCAGTGAAGTACACCTCATTCAGAAACACCCTTTTGATATTTAAATGCTGTAAAATTGGGGCTACAATGAGATACTATATAATAGCTCTATATGTTTTTAAAAATATTTTTGTTATTTTAAAGCAGGTGTTCAAAGGGGGTTTTGCAAACTTAAACTTTATTCATCAAGTTAGAAGAGGTGTGGATGATTAATGAGATGAATAAAGATCTATGAAATGAAAATAAAAAGTAATTGCTTAAAAATAAAAGTAAACAAAATGATATCACCACTAGAAAAAGAATAGCATGTTAAAAAAAATCTCTCGGGGCTGGAGAGATGGCTCAGAGGTTAAGAGTGTTGACTGCTCTTCCAAAGGTCCTGAGTTCAATTCCCAGCAACCACATGGTGGCTCACAACCATCTGTAATGGGGTCTGGTGCCCTCTTCTGGCATGCAGGTATACACACAGACAGAATATTATATACATAATAAATAAATATTAAAAAAATCTCTCAATAAATGGAATCACCTTGTAGCTACATAGCTGCATTTAACATTCAAGGGGGGTAATGGTTCTTTTAGTATATATATACACACACACTGTTGCTTGAGAAAGCCCATCTGAGATGAAAGTTGAAAGCAAATGTTTGTGGTCAGCAGCAGCCATCTGACAGTGACAGGAGCTATTAGTCAGGACGCTGCAAGAATGATGCTTATTAAATGATAATGCAAGGCATAGCAACTAACAGTGGAAAAAGAATGAGACATTCTAAATGTAAATTACTGTATTTGCCATTGATAATACCAGGAGGCCAGCTAGGCTACATAGTGAGGCCCCAATGGAATCAGCAGAAGGAAAAGAAAGATGAGCAAGGGTAGGAAGAGAAAATGATTCTATAATTTCGAGATATGTCTTTTACTATGCTTATGTAGTTGTATGACTTTCTTTAAAATGGGCCTTCACAAAGAGCAGTTTTGTGTTCACAGGAATATTGAGCAGAACATGCAGAGATTTTGACTGCATATTAGGTGTAGAAACATCTTTCTTTGGACTGCCAAGTCACAAATACCAACATTGGAGACATTATTAATTATGAAAGCTTGACCTATTGCTTAGACTTGTCCGGCTAGCTCTTTTAACCTAAATTAACCCATTTGTATTACCTTTGTTTTTTTTTTTTTATGACTTTTTATCTCGCACCTCCTGTCTCCTCTCTGTGTCCTTTGGCATTTTCTTGTGCTTGAATTCGTTTCCTCGCTTTCTTTCTCTACCCAGAAGTCCCGCCTAACCTCTTCCTGCCTACCTCTGGCCATTCAGCCTTCTCAAAGACACATCTTCACACTGCACAAGGGGATGGATTATCCCACAGCAATTAGACACATTTCTTGGGTGCTGTAGAAAAAACTATGTGACAAAAGCCACTTAAGAAAGGCAGGGTTTTTTTTTTTTTTGACTCATAGATTAGGGTGCAGTGGATCATGGAGGGGAAGGCAGGGTGTCAGGAGTGCGAGGCATCTGCTCATATTGTGTCAGCAAGCACCGAGAGATGATGATGTGATGATGCTCGGCTCGCTTTCTTCTTGTCATTTTTATTCATCCCGGGACCCCAGGCCATCCACATTCAGCCTAGGTTTTTCCCTCTCTGGAAACAGCCTCACAGCCATGATTAGAGTTGTGTCCCTTAGGTAAGCCCAAAATCTAGTTGACAGTGCAGTGTAGCACAATTTCTAATTCGTATTAGTAATAAAAACCCAGAGTCAGATATAGGGGTTAAGGCTGAAGATCAGAGAAGAAAAGTAGCCAGCCACTAGAGAGTGATTATCTCTAACAATGCTCAGACAAAAGGGGCGATCCTGTCCTCAGACTGCCTCCTTAGACTGAATCCTCAGACTGCATCCTCAGACTACCTCATACTTCCCTGTTCCTCAGACTACACTGAGCTGCTGTCTTTCCCCCTGCCTTATATTCCCCTCTCTGCCCAGCCATATTAAATCTCCTATATCCATCTCCCTAGCACTGGAGTTAAAGGCATGGAATTCCAACTGTTGGGATCACCTGTGTGTGAGCTCTGTTTCTCTATTAGACAAATTCAGTCTCATGTAGCCCAAGATGGCTTTGAACTAACAGAGATCCCTCTGCCTTCTGCCCCTGTCTCCTCAGTTCTGTGAGTAAAGGTCTGTGCCAACACTCCCTGCCCTCCAGGAGTTTAGTCCTGCACTCTATTCTTCAGGAAAGTTTTATTTGTTAAAACACAAGCGAAATCACTACGGTGCAGACGAACAATCTCAAGCCAGCTCTGTCGACATGTCAGCCATACTTCACTTTCAAATCATGATAAGCCACCTCTATTCCAGATAAATCTCACGTTTATTTTATAGTGTGAAAATGCATTTATTACATTTCATACAGTACCCAAAGTTCCAGCAGTGTTCAAAAGCCTAAGCACAGTGTCTCTACTGAAGTTCAGCTAATCTCTTAGCAGGCCATGTAAAAAAATAGTTACACATTTCCAATATACAATGGCACAAAGTCCAAAAGAGAGAAATAAGGTCATAGTTAGGAATTATGGGACCATAAGAAGACGTAAACCCAGTAAGGTAATCACAGAATTCTGCAGCTCCCTATCTGGCAGCTGGGGTTTATGATGCCTTGTGTGGGGTGCTGCATACCCCTGCCCACTGAGCTCCACAGCCTAAAGCACACATGACCTCTTACTTGAACCTCCTTCACTTGCTTTTAGTTGGAAAACCAACAGCATCTGGCTCACTTCTACTCTAGGAAAAGTAAATAACTGAAAATCTAAAAACCTTAAAATTCGACTTTGATGGTAACAGCCTGGTGATTTTGTTTATTGTGAAGTGTCTTATTCAGAGTCCTGAACTTTCCATGTTTGTCTCCTGGGATCCACGCTGGATTGGCTTGGATGTCTCACTGTCCTCAGATAAAAATTTAGCACAGTAACTAATCTTGGAGCTCTACTAGACTCACCTTAGAAGAGGGGAGGTCTCAAAAGACCACAACCAACCATCCAAGCTCTTCAAGTTCTATATTTATACTGTATTTATATTGTAAATTCTGGGGATATTCAAGAGCTTTTGAACATTTGTCTTTATCCTCCATATTGTAAGGTCCTAGAATTAAGGATTAAGACTCATACTTGCTACACAATAATGACAGATATCCATGGAGCAAATTCAATGAATTTCACATGGAAGGGATTTCCAGCGAAGGTTCCAAATGTCTACATTTGAAATAGGTAAGCGTTATACAATAAACAGCTGCAGAAATTTGTTTTGTAAAGTTATCCTGTAATCCAACTTGTTTTCATACCACGTATCATATGGTATGTATTTTTGATACACACGTATTTCAACAAAATATAGAACACAAAAGATGAAAATTTATGTTTCAGAAACAAGTCATTTCTTTTAATGCCATGAAGTAATGAATAATGTCCCTAAATCACATACTTGGAGAGTCTGATGTTAGTTTTAATAACGTAGACCATTAAACAGCTTACAAATTCAATAGGAATTTGTTTTGATCAAATATTCAATTAAGAGGTTTTTTTCTGGGACCTGAGTAAAAAACTGTTTTAATTCTGTCACAATTTAAGTGCAAAAAGAACCCGAGTACCCAGGAGGTGAGGATGAGAACCCTGCTCATAGTTAAGAAGATGCTGGTAGAGATGTCAAAGATCTTTCCAATGAAGATTCTTCCAAAACACTGATCCACAGAACAGGATAATCCCATCTGTGGCCCTGTCACTTGCTCCTTCTGCTCTACCATAGCACCCACTGGTAGCTGGACCAAAGACCTGGGCATAAAGGCTGCTGTTGTAACTAGTTGTGGCCACTAGACTAGATATAAAGACTTGTGACATATATGATTGCTGGGACATTGGAATTACCTCTACTTGGGTTAAATATTAAAGGGCCTTAAGGAGGAAGTGTCATTTGAGGGAATTACAGATTTGGGCTAAGTCTGTGTCAAAGGTCTTCACCAGCAGGCTCGATCATGTATTATATTTGTGTGTGTGTGTGTGTGTCCTCTCGTCTCTGAACAGTCTTTAGCAGCTTCCAGAGCCATGCAACCAATACTACATTAATGTAATGAAAGTGTGATCGTAGATATTGACAGAGTATGAATGAGTGCCTATGATGAATTCCTGGGGCAAGGGTCTGAGGGCTCTAGGAGGAAGGTGAAGTGGGGGGCAGTCCCTGGGAACCAGAAGAGGGGTGGGATTTGAGGCTAACCGGGAGGGAGGCAGTGCCGGCTCCGGGCGGCAGGGGGCGCCGCCGTGCGGCCGCGCCGACCCCAGTACCGAGCCGCCGCCGCCACCGCCCGGCGCAGTCCGTCCGCCATGCGCGCGCTGCTACCGCTGCTGAGCGTCGTCCGAGGGTGGCGCGTGGGGGCCGCCGCCCGCCCTCCGCGTCGCGTCATGTCCCTATACCGCACGGAGGAGCGCGGCCATCCCCACTCGGAGGACTACCGCCTGTTCTTCAGTAAGTGGCTCGCCGAGCTCCGCGCCGGCCCGAGAAGCAGCCGCGCCGCCGTGCTCTGCCCGGCGGGGTCCGCAGCCCGCGCCCGGCCCGGGGTGACGGGGGACCGGTGTCGGCACGCAGCGCGGACGCGCAGGGCGGCGCGGGGCCAACCGCCCTCTGCTGCGACGGCAGGCGGCCCGCGGCCCGCGGCGCCGCGCTCCACCCGCTGACCTCCGCGGCGTGGCCCGCTGTCCTCCCGCGCCGCCCTCTCGGGAGCAGCGAAGCCCAGCCCCCTCCGGGCGGACGCAGAACTTTGGGGACCGGGGCTTCACGCCTAAACTCGAGTTTGCGTCGCGATCGGACGGCGAGCGCCTGCGTATTTGGAGGGAGGAAGCGGGAGGGGAGTGTGAGCCAGCTACTGCGATAGGCTTGTGGGCAAGTGCCGGAGTGGACCCTGTTATTTTGTAGGGTAACTTAAAAAAAAAAAAAACAAATAAAACAATAACAAACTGAGTTTATACCTAAAAGTTTGCACCCCGAATGCCATCCACAAACAGGAGACTGACTGGCGTTCTAGCAAGATGGTGGCACGACCTCTTGCCTTTCACATTGAGCAAACATTGAGAGGAAGGTGTCTGGTGCTGCCCTGAGCGGGCCACCGAAGTCAGAAAAACTCCTGGCTACGCCCTTTTTATTTTCACTGTGTAGATTTTTCTTTTTTAAATCAGTGACATGAAGTAGCCACATAGGTCGAGTTACCTTCATGCCCCATTGACTTTCAGAGCCCTGAGGAGAGCTGTAGCGACCTAAAGTCTTGTGCACACCTGTTGGGAGGTTCCACCCGGAAGGGGTGAAGCTAGAATCTTGGAAGTTCATAGTTTGTGCTCCGACACCCCGTCCTGGGCTAATTTTTTAACTTGCTAAGCATTAGGGTTTTTGTTTTTTGCTTTTTGCTTTGTAAAATAGGGCTGCAGAAATTGCTCTGTGAGCAAAGTAGTCACAGGACTTACAGTGTAACTTATAATCATTAATAACTATACTATGATGTTTATAGTTACCTATCTGGAACTTAAGTTTGAGGATTGTTTTATGATAAAGGAGCAAAGCTAACTTAAACTCTTGTCTTTTGTTTTTTGTTTTGAGACAGGGTCTGCCTCTGTCTCCCGGATTGAACAGATGGGCCTCTTCAACTGGCAAACTTTCTGTAGTTGTAATGCATCTGGTACTAAATAGTTTTCTCAAAATTAGTTTCCGTGCTACAGTTTTTCCACCCTTTTTTGCTTAGGCAAGACTGATTAGGTCTTTTTAAAAGAGGGCCTGTGCACACATCGGGAGCCTGGGTAAGATACCTGTCTCAAAAAACGAGAATAAAAACAAACCAAAAACCCAAGGAGAAACCCTTAGTAAGTAGACTCTTTGCTGAATGGATTGTGTCCCCAAAGTTACAATGTAACAGTTCTCCATGTTCTCCATGAAGAAACTGTTATATAATGGCAAATGGCGTCCTAAGCAGAAAAGCCTTTGTGTATAATATGGTGAAAATGTCCTAGGTTTTCAGTACAGCAACACACACATTCGTCTTTCCACAGCGTCAGAATTGATTGAAATACAGTAAATTTAGAAGCAGCACGGATTTTGTGGGGCCCCCGCTTTGCCAAGTAGTCTCAGTTTTCCCTGATCGCTGTCCCAGGCAAACAGGTTCTTTGTGCACAGGTGCGTGCACGCGTTTGTGGAGACCAGAGGTCTTAAATTGTTCCCTGGGCGCTGTCTGCTATCGTTTTGAAGACAGTCTCAGTGGTCTGGAGGTAGGTGAGGCTGGATGGACGGTGAGCCACGGAGTTCTGCCCTGCGTTCCCAGCACTGCGATGACAAACATGGTCTACCATGCCTGGCTTTCTTACGTGTGTTGTGGGGAGCGAACTCAGATCCTTAATGCTCGCACAGCCAGCGTTGGTAGCTCCCCAGCTCAAACAGGCTTTTATTCCGATCTTAGTTACTGTCGACTCGGAGATCACTTCGTACTTGCCATGCAGTACGTACATCTGTATGTGTCGGTTTCAGAATGACGGCCGAAGTGCCGAAGAGGTTGTGGCTCTTCCAGGAGTCCCAGATGCCTTCCTGAAAACAGGCTGGTGCAAATGTCTCGAGCATCCATGTAGGTGTTTGTTTAAGGTGCTGGGAAATCGGATAAGCCAGAGATGTGAATCAGGTCATAAGTCGCAGGGTCCCAGTTGAGCTGAGCTTCAGCATTTAGTCAAGTTGGCTGTGTGACATGTGGGGACTGTGGAAACTGGCGAGAGATCCAGGTCCAGTCAGAGGAGTAGGCCAGGAGAATTTTGGAGCTCTCTGTCTACTGGTCCTTTGACCCAGCAGGTTGGCCGTCATCATAACCCTTCAGTGTTGGGCATCCTTGCCGAGGACAGGAGATAGAAATAGAACAGGCAGTTTAGTGTAAATGCTCTTGCTTCTGTCCAGATCAGATGCCAGGAGTGCCGTAGAGAGCTCTGGGTCTTTGTTTCTTCTCCTAGGAGGTGTGTATGAAGGTGTGATTGAAAGTCCAGTGCACACACACTTATCCCTTCTGAGTCTCTAGATTTTCATGACGAATTTCATGGTGAAGATGGGCTATTTCTATTCCCTAGTCTCTGCCCATCTTCTAAATCATTTTAGAGATTGTTGAGGCAGGGGGTGACGTAGTAGTGTTGGAAACCATTGAGGGTGGCTCTGTTGAGACTCAGTAAGGGGAAGTAATTTCGTCCTGGCCAAAAGAATCTACCTGTGGCCCTGGGTGGAGACAAGACAATCTGATGCGCTCCCAAGATTAGAACATGACATAGCATTGTCTCCTTCCTCAATAGTTAATCCATCTTGGCCTGTCAATCACCTTGCCAAGAGTGGCCCTCAGGGATATACCTGGTATACCCAAAGCTATGCTAAGGAGGTGGGAGGAATAATTATCCCTTTAATAAGTAATAAGGATAATGTATGTATCCTCCCCAGAAACCCCACCCTAAGTGTAGATGCTTGCAGAGCTTCTAACTTGTAGCACGGCTGAGCTTGCCTTCTTTTCTGAGTTACTTAGAAAACAACTTTCTTTTTTCCAAAGCTTAAACATGACTCTCCTGATTTTCTGGACTTTCTCAGTCTCTGAAGCTATGCCTGCCCCTTTCACCATGTGACTGCTTACAAACTATGGCGTTCTTTCTTCTTCTTCGCAGTCTTCTTCCAAGTAGCCGCCACGACCTCTGCAGATTTTTCTATTTCTAGTAAAATTGATGTCACCCTTCCTTTCAAGTCTGTTTCTAAATTCTCTTATTAATAAGACAAGGAACCCCAAAGAGGAAACCCTAATTTGCCCAGTAATAGGTGGTTCCCAGTGTGGGGCTCCCCACAGTTTCTGGGAACCTGCTTTTCTATACGGCGTCCAGGTGAGGATGCTATAAATTTTTATTCATTTGTTTTGTTTGATAAGTTCTCGGGCCTGGCTTTCCTGATAGGATTGTATTGTATTTGTGAATATTGAGTGAGAGTGTGTGTGTGTGTGAGTGTGTATGTATGTATGCATGCACACAGGTGCCAGCTACATGGGAGAGTTGGTTCTCTCCCTCCAACACGTGGGTCCTGGAGATCAAATGCAGGTCATTGAGTTTGGCAGCAAGTGTCTTTAGGTGCTGCGCTGTGTCGCCAGTGCTTGATAAGATTTTAATATGCCACATGCTCGTTTGGTCCCAATTTACTTGGATAATTTGATAGAATATCACTCTGTGGATGTTTTGGGGATGATCTATTTCTATCATTGCTTATTTATTTATTTGTTTGTTTGTTATTCTATGCTGGTAGTACTGTCCATGGAGTGTTGCTTACATATCCTTCACCTGTAGCATGCATTTGTTCATTCATTCATTCATTCATTCATTCATTCATTCATTTGTTTGTCTCTGCTGGTGGTGCTGTCCAGGCAGTGATGTTTATATGTCCGCCAAGGTTCAGAGTCCTCCTGCCTCTGCATTTGTGCTCAAAAATGGAGTCAAATCCTGCTTGTAAAATGAGGTTTCTCAGGGTACAGCACAGCTGAAAAAATACTGTTACAATGAGATACAGTGAGATATAGCCTAGACTTGGGCACACTCTAGTCTCAGCTTCCGTTACAATGAGATACAGTGAGAGATCTCTAGACCTGGGCACACTCTAGCCCAGCTGCTGTTACAATGAGATACAGTGAGCTATCTCTAGACCTGGGCACACTCTAGTCCAGCTCCTGTTACAATGAGATACAGTGAGCTATCTCTAGACCTGGGCACACTCTAGTCTCAGCTTCCGTTACAGTGAGATACAGTGAGCTATCTCTAGACCTGGGCACACTCTAGTCCAGCTCCTGTTACAATGAGATACAGTGAGCTATCTCTAGACCTGGGCACACTCTAGTCTCAGCTTCCGTTACAGTGAGATACAGTGAGCTATCTCTAGTCCAGCTGTGTTACAGTGAGATAGCCCCTAGATTTGGGCACACTCTAGTCTCAGCAGAGTAATAGACAACAAAAGCTGTGCTGAGCAGTGGAGTGGGCATGGTACGGGGGTGTCGTCGTATGCCCTGCTCTCACTGTAACTGTGACGATTGTGAAGCAGAGCAGAGCTGTCCAGGCCCCTGGCGTCTACAGCACAGCTGGCCCGAGCCCTAGATTTGGAGCGAGGAGGCCCGGGTCTCAATCTTGGTCCTCGTGTGTGTGCTGCTGGCAGGGTTTCTTCTGGGACACTTCTGCCTGGAAAGGAATCCGCTGACCCTGTCCTGATCCCCAGGGTCCTTCAGGCTCTGAATGCATTAGTGATAGCAGTGCAAGTAAAGGTCCGTGGCGGGTTATCTCTGCGGCTAGAATGAATTTTTTTTTTTTTTTTTTTTTTTTTTTTGCATCAAATGTACTTAAGATTATTTTGGAACTTGGATGCCATAAGTAAAATTTATTTTTATTCAGTTAATAGGGTAGAAAAACAAAAGGTTTTACTGAAATAAATGACAAGAATCC